TAAGGTTTAGGATTCGGGGTTTAGGGTTCAGGTTTGGGTTCTTTTTAATGATGAGCAGGAGTAAGACGCCGCTGATGAACATGATTGTGATCGTGATCAAATATTACTGCTATGTTGGACGTGTCTCCGCGCGGGGCCTGCGAACAAAGCCGCCATAAATCAAACACATCCCTCGATGCTGATGGGTACCCTTACAGTAACTCTAAACGCTGCCCCAAACCCTTTACCCGAAACCTAAACCCTAAACCCTAAGCCCTAAACCCGAAACCCGAAACCCTAAACTCGAAACCCTAAACCCTAAACCCTAAACCCCAAACCCGAAACCCTAAACCCTAAACCCTAAGCCCACCGCAGTTGTACATGTGGCCGAGCTTACAGAGACCCAGAATCGGTTCAAGGCTCAGGTCACCTCGAAGCCCGAAACCCCTGATCTGTCTGGTGCTTAGTAGGGAAGGGGGGAATGGGTTATAGGGATTACTATAAGGGACCTTAAGGGACTATCATAGGGATCGATTCCCCCATTCCCTACTAAGCACCAGACAGTGATGTTTGAAGCCAATACCGTATTGATAAAGGAACATATTAGGGTTTAGGGTTTGAGGGTTTAGGGTTTTGCGGTTTAGGGTTTTCCGGTTTAGGATTTAGGGTTTGAGGGTTTAGGATTTAGGGTTTGAGGGTTTAGGGTTTTACGGTTTAGGATTTAGGGTTTGAGGGTTTAGGGTTTTACGGTTTAGGGTTCCGGGGACACCTTCAATCCCAGGGGCCTCGATATTATGGCTGAAGGGGGTTTTCCTGAATTAAGAAATATTGGGCTCTCTGGGAGTTTGGAATACGGTTTAGGGTTTAGGGTTTAGGGTTTAGGGAATACGAAAATCGTGTTTCCGGCCGACAAAAAACCAATAGGTTTTTCTTTGGGCCACGAGTGCTTCAGATCGGCCGGAAGTATACTTACAGCACTCGTTCTCTTGCAGATAACTGCAAGTACAGCCCTTGAGCCCTGAATATCGGAAAACCTTCAAAATATAGGATCTGTGCAGCGGCCGAGCGTCGGATGTTCGCATGGAGGCCGTGCTACTCCTTTGCACAAATGTTTTGGAGGTTCGGGCGCAGGTAGACGGGTTGCCAGGTCGTTGGTCTTTGACTTAATTTCTTCGATATAATTACACAAGAGGCAGCAAGGGGGTATACGCTGTCGATATATACACAGCCCTTACAATGACTCTGTATTGACGATCTTGGACCAGCTTCGTGGATGCAGGACTTTCAAGACGAGCTCTAAAGACCCTAAACTCTAAACCCTGAACCCTAGACCCTAAAACATGAACCCTAAACTGGCCCTAAACCCTGAACCCTGAACCCTCAACCCTGAACCCTAAACCATAAATCCCAAACCCTAAACGAAGGCATCAGAGACTTCCGGTTTTGGAAGCTTAAAGGTCTCACCATACAGCCAGAACCCACAGCAACCTACAGCTCCAGTCCACACCCCCCCAAGCCCAAACACCCTAAACCCCAAAACCGAGCCACGGAGCCTTTCAGGCCCATATATACATACATACATACATA